AGGTTCTATTCTCAATTTTTTCAGTTTCAACTCCGTTACCTCTAACAGACACACTCGTTAGTTAATCTATTCTTCTAGGCTTTTAAAAAAGATTTTGTACATTTGGATCACTGGATGTTCTATAATTTTTCTGCATTTCGTTATCCAGCTGTTTACTCTTTCATTGTTTGTGAAATATCCCTGACGATTGTTTTTATGCTGGAGGGGGAAACGGATTGAAAGAAAAACGTTAATCTTGTGTTGTCCCTGAGCCATTTGTATTGAAAAGGTGTAGATTTCTATATGCTGCTACTATCGAAAGATTGAGGTTTACCTTGTGCAGTAAGCCTAGTTGCTTTTCTTTTTATGCTCCTATATCTATTCGCTTCCCCGTACCATTACTTATGGAAGACTGTCATAAGTATCAAATCTAACGATCATCTTATTCGTTAAGAAATGTTTGCCCTTGTTCTGGAGTTTATATCTGTGCAGACGGTGGTGAGTATTCCGTAAATGTCCCTCAGTCCCTTTGTTTATGCAAAATCGCAAGACAGTAGTTTCAATTACTTCATCTCCGCAGGGCGGCAGGCTGATTTGTTTCATTTTAGCCACCTTTCACTGCTTCACCGGGAAATACTGCTATACAGTTTACCGTCTGTCTGAGATGCCTTTCAACATTTGGCGTTGGCCTCCCTAGAGACAGCTCCTGTGACCGGGTTTACATAAGAGAATCTGATGATTCAGCGATGTACTTTTCATGCTTTAGTTTCAGCTTTTCTGCTATGACTGTTTCTATCTCTGACTAAGAAATGACCTTTCCGGTGACCCGAACGATTGGTGGTTGAAAGCTCCAGAGCTCCCAACAGTGCTGCATGAAATGGCTTCCGTCTTTTATGGATCATCATCATCATATCCAAGATATTTAGTCGTCATTAACTCACTGGTATCCATTAAGAGGGGCAGTAATCACGAAGGCTGCTTTTATATGCACCTCAATGGTATATGCCCTTCTAACTTTTCTCTACCTACGGGGTAGATGCTGTTCCCATAGCAGTGTCCTTGATCGATCGACATTGATCAGCAGGGATAAAATGTTTTCTGCATTGCATGTAGCTTATGGTTGGATGCCCTAACCTTCACCAATGGAAAATAATCGTAGCTGTCAGTGGTGGTAATCGTCTTACTCCTCAGAATGGCTTCATCCATTCTCAGAATAACGGTACTATCCAAATGTTTAATCCTTTTTAAAGTGTCTGTTATTCCTCGGAATGGAGATGCTAGTGCAGCAAAGTAAATATATATTTCCTATTCGCGTCTTAAGCTTGTGAGTCTTCGAGTCTTATGATCCTCATCACAATTGTAGTTTCTGGGACAGTTCTGTCCTTCATCCACAACAGTAGTTGCGCAGATGATGATGGGAACACGTAGAGTTGGTTGGCAGCTTTTCAGCAGAAGTCAGTTACTCGTATCACGTCCGCAGTGTTTTTTTTCAGGGTCACACCGTGAGACTATTTCACAGCAATATAGAAATGGCAAATATACCGATTTCATTCTTTACTTGCATGTATTTTTGGCCTCACCAGTTTAGGTATAGTTTTCAGTGTAGCTTTTAGTGTATATGCACCTGTTTGCCTGTGTCATTTATTATGTGCTGTACGCCCGGTGTTTCAGATCGCGCTTTATCTATCTTCAGGCGACAAACTGCAGGCGCACATGCATGCGTTCTACTCAGTTTACAGTTTGGTTTTTGTATACTACGTATTTGTTATAGCCGCTGAAGATGGAGGTAGTTACATGTTAAACAACGTCTGGCAAGCTGTAGCATGTCTACGTCCTTACCCTTTTAAAGTCTCTTATAATGACTACCATCTAAAGAATTAAGACATTTTAAAATGCTTTGGCGATTAAAGCTTTGGTGCCATTGATTTTCTTTCGCTCATGCCGATTTGCAGTCGTTTGAATTGTCTCTTTCTGTAGAACATCGGTCCAAAGTGGCTGTTGTACAACCTGGCAGCGCTGTATTGGCGAATTATCGGCATCACCGTTGAGGCGGTGGCATGTTTGCGACTGGCTTTGGCAGAGAAAAATGGTATACCATACGCAGACGTCGCCTTATTCCAACTCAGCTATTTGTCATACGTGGCTGGCGGTCGTCTGGATGATGCGGTGTCGCTGATTCATCAGGCGATCGAGATAGATAACACAGAAGTACGTTTTTTCTTCTACTACACTATGTGTACTGTAGCTACCTACTCTTTGATTTCAGCCATTGCCACAGTACCTTCTGGGTTACTATCTCGTGCTCAAGAGTAATTGGACGGGGGCCGTACATCATTTGCGCAGCTGTCTGCAGGCGGACCCGCGATTCACGAAGGCATCCAAACTTTTTGCCTACGCTCGCTGCATGCAGTTTGTAAGCTCACCGGTGTTTTACTTCATAATCTGGTTTGTCATCTTCAACAAATTTAGGCCACTTTCTTCCCCAACTCTCATCTGCGACACCTGCGCGAATGCTCACAGCGCTTTATCTATGAACTGTTTTGCGGTGAGGTAAATATCAGCTGTTATATAGAGTATTTTTTCACTATATGTTTGTTATGGATCATGAATTATCGAAAATGTTTTCTCATCAATTCGTTAACATAATATAGTCATTCAAATGCCTGAGCCTTCCATAATACAGTGTTGGCATTTTCACCCGAGGATTGTGTAATGTTCACCAATGAAGAGAGTCATATGTCTGGTATTGGAGTTTTCATAGGTAAATCACTACGATTGTCGTGCCGAATATTAAAAACCCCGAAACAGTCAGTTAAAGACGCAGTATTACTCAGAATTGCTGTAGCGTTTTCACATATTAAACAAATGTTTGATCTTTCTAGATGTGATCTCTGATTGCAACCAATGGAAGAATTCGGGACGGGAGGATGGGAATGAGGCACCACCCGTATTGATTACTCGCCGTGCTGATAACTATTACCCGCCAAGCAGGCTGATTGCTCGTTGGCTAGACGCACAAATGACAGAAGCGACTCATGTCGGATAAATTTAAAAGGCAAAAGAACATAACAAGGATAAGAAAGGAGGAGGGTTGGAGACCGTGGCAAGTCTCCGTAAAATTCAGCCACCTGCCACTCATGGT